GAAGTTTAACCAAAAATTGTTATAACTGTGTCAGATTACAAGGCATCTTAGATTCCGCCATGTGCAACAGTCAAAGAGCTCGAGTATATCATACTAGATTAGTCAAGTATGCTGTGTCCTGTGCCCAAAGATTAGCGGCCTCTGCCACAAAACAAGAAAAGGAAAAAAGCACACCCTCTACTAAGCCAGGTATTATTAAAAGCTACCTCACTGAGAATTACAGCGAATTAGCGGCCTCTCTGAAGAATGCCATACTAGATTAGTCAAGTTTGCTGGGTCCTATGCCCGAAGATAAGCGGTCTCTCTGAAGAATGCCGTACTAGATTAGTCAAGTTTGCTGTGTCCTATGCCCGAAGATTAGCGGCCTCTCTGAAGAATGCCATACTAGATTAGTCAAGTTTGCTGTGTCCTATTCCCGAAGATTAGCGGCCTCTCTGAAGAATGCCGTACTAGATTAGTCAAGTTTGCTGTGTCCTATGCCCGAAGATTAGCGACCTCTGCCACAAAACAAGAAAAGGAAAAAAGCACCACCCTCTACCAAGCCAGGTATTATTAAAAGCTACCTCACTGAGAATTACAGCGAATTAGCGGCCTCTCTGAAGAATGCCATACTAGATTAGTCAAGTTTGCTGTGTCCTATGCCCGAAGATTAGCGGTCTCTCTGAAGAATGCCGTACTAGATTAGTCAAGTTTGCTGTGTCCTATGCCCGAAGATTAGCGGACTCTCTGAAGAATGCCGTACTAGATTTTGTGTAAGACTAGACGACGGACTCATCTGTGTGCTGGAATTCATCTTATTATTTGGTACGACTGGTGATATTTATCTGTTAATTAAGAGATTAACTGTGCATGTATTAGTGCCTTTGGAGAGCTATCTTTTAGTGAAAATCTCAAAAAATACTGAAATTAGACAATTATGTGTTAAAGATACATTATGGGAGATAAGATAAAAACCACTATTAGATGGAATAATCTGTAATGATGTTATTCTTGTTGTCCTTTGAATAACCTTTCCAGTGATACCTTCCTTTTTGTAATCAGACAAAAATTAAGAAAGTTATGACTCGTGACGATCGGAAATCCTAAAAACGGGTCACGTGTCGAGATGTTAATTTCTATTGTTTTTCATTAGTAATTAGTGACCGAAATTAGCATAAATTTGTGATACCAAATCCCTTATTACTTTTTTATTATTTGTTCCATTGGGATGATACAGATAATCACTGGAAAGGTCTTTTTAAGCCCTTTCCAATGATACCAATCATTTTAATATCAACCCATTTTGATTTTTTTTTTGTCTATTTAGCTAGGCCTAAACTGATCGAGTAGCTCAAGTTTTCCGCGATTTAACTAAATTTTATTTCATATAATTGAAGTATTCTGTCAGTTTTTCACAATAGTAAAGGTAGTATATGTGGTAGTATTGGGTTGTAGGTTTGTAGGCCTTTTTATACGTCCACCCGTCCGTCCGTCCATCGTCCACAATTTCTTGTGAACTTATACGCCCACATTGAAATGTGGACGTATATTGCCGTCGCCCCCGTCCGTCCGTCTGTCGGTCCGCCCGTCCATCGTCCACAATTTCTTGTGAACGCTCTAACGCCAAAAGTTATTATCCGATCTTTCTGAAATTTACATGCATTATTTAGATTAGTGAAACAAAGAAGCCTATTGAATTTCAGCAATTTCCATTTATTACGTCTAGAGTTATGACCCTTGTTTCACTTTATTGAACCTTGTGAACGCTCTAACGTCAAAAGTTATCATCCGATCTTTCTGAAATTTATATGCATTATTTAGGTTACTGAAACGAAGAAGCCTATTGAATTTCGGCAATTTCCGTTTATTAAGTCTAGAGTTATGGCCCTTGTTTCACTTTATTGATCCTTGTGAACGCTCTTACGTCAAAAGTTATCATCCGATCTTTCTGAAATTTATATGCATTATTTAGGTTACTGAAACGAAGAATCCTATTGAATTTCGGCAATTTCCGTTTATTACGTCTAGAGTTATGGCCCTTGTTTCACTTTATTGATCCTTGTGAACGCTCTCACGCCAAAAGTTATCATCCAATCTTTCTGAAATTTATATGCATTATTTAGATTGCTGAAACGAAGAATCATATTGAATTTCAGCAATTCCCGTTTATTACGTCTAGAGTTATGGCCCTTGTTTCACTTTATTGATCCTTGTGAACGCCCTCACGTCAAAAGTTATCATCCGATCTTTCTGAAATTTATTTGCATTATTTAGATTGCTGAAACAAAGAATCCTATTGAATTTCATCACTTCCCGTTTATTACGTCTAGAGTTATGGCCCTTGTTTTACTTTATTGATCCTTGTGAACGCTCTCACGTCAAAAGTTATCATCCGATCTTTCTGAAATTTATTTGCATTATTTAGGTTACTGAAACGAAGAAGCCTATTGAATTTCAGCAATTTCCGTTTATTACGTCTAGAGTTTTGGCCCTTGTTTCACTTTATTGATCCTTGTGAACGCTCCAACGCCAAAAGTTATCATTCGATCTTTGTGAAATTTATATGCATTATTTAGATTAGTGAAATGGAGAAGCCTATTGAATTTCAGCAATTTCCGTTTATTACGTCTAGAGTTATGGCCCTTGTTTCACTTTATTGATCCTTGTGAACGCTCTAACGCAAAAAGTTATCACCCGATCTTTGTGAAATTTATATGCATGATTTAAATTAGTGAAACGAAAAAGCCTATTGAATTTCAGCAATTTACAATAGTTATTGCTCTTGTTTCACTTTGTTAAACCTTGTTTATGCTCGATTGGTAATAGTTATCATCCGATATGTATGAAATTTATATGCATCATTTAAATTTGTGAAACAGGTCTATTGAATTTCAGCAATTTCCGTCAATAATTTCTAGAGTTATGGCGATTGTGAACATTTGAATGACAAATGTGATCTGTATGAAATTTATATGCATTATTTAAATTAATAAAACGAAAAAGCCTGTCAAATTTCAATAATTTCTGTAGATTACTTCCAGAGTTAAGACCCTTGTTTCAGTTTGTAGAACCTTGCAAACCCTCAAACGACAAAATTTATAATCTGATCTGTATGGAACTGTCTTGTAAAGGCTCCCAATTACCTACAAAGGAATAAATATGCGACAACCCTTGACGACCGCTCGGACGATTTAGCTGCTGTGGGCGTGTGTTTTGTTGCCTGGCAACCTATCTTTTAATGTAGGCCTATCATTTCATTTAGGCCTATGCCAGAAAAATGTGAATTATAGGTTACCGGGCAACATATCATATCACTATCAGTTAATCACATTAATTTTAATCATACTTAGAAAAGTTATAATATATGTAATATATAGAAGAAATAGAATTTCAAATATTATTTTTTCTGATAAATCATTCACCAAACCCGAGTTAAAAAATAGAAGCTAAAAAATCCAAGAAAACTGAAAAAATGTTAATTGTTCTTAACTATTTTGTCTGTTCTTTTTGATTGAATGTTTTATTTACCTTTCATTTCTTTTTATATTTTCAGTTTGGAAGCATATGAAAGGAATTTTAATTTTGGAAAATCCCAAGTGGTGAATCAGTCTGAGTATCAAATGGACACACCGAAAGAACACTTATATAAAGATTTACATGAGGGAAGTGTCATACCAGAAATAACTATGGACAACATTGAAAACTTTCTGGGTTCCGTGAATAAGAGTTTAAGTAGAGAGAGCATAAATCTTGTGAATGAAAAATTCCTTATATACATCAAGACCGTAGATGAAACAGGAGCATTCTTTTTTAAAAGTCAGTGTAGAGCGGAAATGCGAAAGCATGTAAAATACAATATTGACATTGCTGTAAATTCACATTGTGGAGATGGTATGGGCCCAGAAGCTCATTGCAAGCATGTTAATGCTGTGTTGTATGCTCTGTTTATTTTTTGTACTAAGGGTAAAGTTGTAACCGAAGAGACCTGCACACAGAGGCTACAAACGTTCCATCATACCAAATGTCATCAAGGTTCACCTGTGAAGGCTTGTGACCTTAAGTTAAGAGGAAGAAAGAGAGTGGGAGGCTAATCAACTTTGATCCTCGTCCAGAGGCATACAGAGGCACTGATGCATACCCAGGGTTCTTCAGAAATATTTGTTTAAACTCTTCAGACATTTCAAAATTACCATTGGCTCAGCTATTTTCTTCTGCAGATATACAAGGTGCAGCATTGGATCATGACTATTTAAAGGAAACTCCTGAAGAGCATTTCCTAACTTTTATCAAACACAAATCAATAACAGATAATGAAATTATGTCTATAGAACAAGCAACAAGAAACCAGTCAGCAGATAGATTATGGTCCGAGATGCGGTGTATACGGTTGAACTCATCTGAATTTGGCAGAATATGCAAACTGACTAACAGAACTGATAAAAGCAGCTATTCAGCCAGTCTTACGATCCCACATGAAGTTGTTGCAGCTTCATTGAAGTACGGTAGGAAGTATGAGAAGGTGGCAGTCCAGTCCTTTATAAAAGAAACAAGTCTAGCAGTCAAAGCATGCGGTAGTATTATTTGTAAGGAGTATCCATTTTTGGCCTCATCACCTGACGGATTGGTGGAAAAAGATGCCACTTTAGAAGTGAAGTGTCCTTTTAAGTCCAAGGACATGGTAATAACAACTACCACTGTTCCCTATTTATCTGTTGATGAATCTGGCAATTTGTATTTAAATGAAAGCCATCAATATTATTACCAGGTGCAAGGTCAACTTTTATGCACTGGTAGAAATAAGTGCTATTTTTGTATATTTACCCACAAAGATTTCAAAATAATTACTATTTCTAGAAATAATAAATTTCTTACAGATATGATTGGACAGTTATCAAAATTTTACTATGAACATTTTCAGCAAGCTGTTTTGAAGCGATACTTTTACAAAACAAAATAAGAATTGTTTGCGTAATATATTGTATAACTATTGTATTTTATTATTGAATGTTTTTGTTATTATATGTAAGTGAGAAATGTAATAAACTAGGACTTTAACAAGAGTTTCCTCCCTTATACTATACTATGGGCTGTACATTCATAAAGATAATAAACGGAGGGCGCTTGGTGTTTGCTTCGCCATTGACATGACTTTCTTGTTTGAGGCCTTATAACTTCTTAAAATGTCAGTCACCACTCGACTACCCGACAACCAATATCTAAGAAAAGGTTTTCTTCGCGATTAATTGTCAATGGGGAATCTGTACTGCTTTTTCGTTGTTCTCATAACTTTGCTCTATTCAGACGGTTGATTTGATGTTTATCCATTGGTTTTGACCATGAAAAAATAGTTGGGATAGCTTGTGGCTTCAGACGTTTTACCAAAGGTGTTGTGCCTGAAAATCATAAATAAAGGTTGCTTAAATCATTGACTACCTAAATGAAATGAAATGGGTTTTAATGTCCTATTATTCTGCTCCGACTGGGTTAATGAAGACGGGCTTACATTCATACAGTGGCAGTGCTATGAGGGAAATCTTGCCCAGAAAGCAGCGCACCAATGTATACGCGGGACCTAAGTTTTCCGGCCCATTCGAACAACTATTAATGGTCATCAGGCCCTCCGTCCTGCACCACTGGAGTATCTAAAGTGTTAAATTATAAATAATAAACGACAGTTGTAAAAATATTTGAAAGGTATGCATTATGCAAATAAATTTTAATATATATTAAAATACAAACAAGACAATGGTAGGCCTAGTTATCAACATGATTATCAAATCTACTCATTCTTACTTTTGTCTTTAGCCTATATGAATATCGACATGGGACTTGACATGACAGTGCATTTAATTTTAGCCAAAATTGTGTATCCATAAAATTGTACCTTCTTTTAGCTTATATGTGATATACTATACTAAAATATATAAAATCACATGATTACATCATATGTGACCGGTTGATAGGCCTATATTACTGTAACAGCACACCTCGTTACGCAGGCAGCCAAACACAAATGAACAGAGGTGTGATGCTCTGCGCAATCTTCTGGGATTAAGTCGCAAGCTTTTTACTAAATGTGTACCGGAATAATCAAAAAATTCAACATACAAGTTTTAGGGTTCAATGAATTCTCTTTATATCATCATTTAGTTGACAGACAATTCTAAGTTGATTATATGATGAATATCAAGTTGAATATACACACACATACACATATGTGAAAACTGAAATAACAAAAGTTAACAGAATTACTAAACGGTACTAATTGATATATACTATTCAAAAAAAGTAGGGGATATTAGATTTTGGGGGCATAATACTAAAATATGCAAATGACTATGAAAAAAGTCACTATAGAACCTAACAGAAGAAACATTTCCAGTTACATGTGACGCCCAAACGCACCAATAGCTACCGCATGGAATGCAGGTGATGCTTGGGATCATCATGGGTGTCCAACCCAAGATTTGCACGACTCTGACTTTGAATGTTACAGTCATTGTGGCATTGAATTCCAGGGTGGAAACATCAGTTTAATTGTTTTAGTGACCAGAAAACAAATTTTGATATTCGTCGGCTTACCCAAAATGAAAGGTTACGTGCCCTTGGCATGCTACAGATCGGCACAACACAGGCGGTTGTGGCGCGGACGATGAATGTTTCTCAGTCTGTCATAAGCAGGCTATGGTCCAGATACCGTGATACACAATCTGTACAGGACAGACCACGCACAGGTCGACCAAGGGCGACAACTCAAGCCCAGGATCGATTTATCCGTACCTTGGCCTTGAGAAATCGTGTCATCACAGCAAATCAGATCAGCGCTCGTCTTCAAACAGACACTGGTGTGAGAGTGAGTGGCCAGACGATTCGGAATCGACTGCATAGGGGCCACCTTCGTGCCCGACGTCCTCGCGTGATCCCTTGTTTGAGAGATCATCACATTCAGGCAAGACGTCGTTGGTGTAGGGATCGTCAACACTGGGATAATCGACGCTGGAGCAATGTGATGTTTTCAGATGAGTCAAGGTTCACTGTTGATTTTTTGGACAGACGTAGGAGGGTGTGGCGTCGTCGAAACGAGCGCTTCCAAGACGTTAACGTCATCAGACATGATCGATTTGGGGGTGGTTCTGTTATGGTGTGGGGAGGCATCACTGTTGCTGGAAGAACGGCTTTACATGTTGTTGCAGGGCGTGTTACAGGCCAGTACTACCGGGACAACATCTTGGCAGTCCATGTTGTGCCGTTCGCACGACGTCATGGCCGCCGTTTCATCTTCCAGGATGACAACGCAAGATGTCACAGGGCCAGGATCGTTACAGGTTACCTCCAACAACAGAACATCACCACATTACCTTGGCCAGCACTGAGTCCCGACCTCTCCCCCATCGAGCATGTCTGGGACATGCTTGGACAGAGGTTACGTCAACGTCAACAACGTCCTGCCAATGTCCAAGAACTTGCTGCTGCGTTGCAACAGGAATGGGACAATCTGGACCAAAATGACCTTAGACGTCTCATTAGGAGTATGCCACGTCGGATCAATGCTTGTTTGGCAAACAGAGGAGGATTTACCCGTTACTGACTCGGTTGTGATGCTGTGGTAACTTTGCTGTTTGACCCCGGGTATCATTTTACCCTTATAATGGTCAGTCTGTGCCTTACTTAGTCTAACGATCATTTGGAATAAATCGATGAATGTGAACTTCATTTCATTTTGTCATTTGTTTCTTCGTCAGTTTCATTAGGTGACTTTAATAACACTTAAAAATCAAATATCCCCTACTTTTTTTGAATAGTATACGATAATAACTATAGCACAAGTGACAACGTACAAACTACGTAATATTGTTAGCTAGGAAACGGCGTTTGACAGTGCCTGCATGACAGCTAATACAATACACAAGATTTCAAACCCAAAACGAAATTATACATATCAAATAAGAATACTGACATATACTTAGTTATGTGATGGACATATTAACTGATAATTACAACCAAAAATATATGTTTATAACACAATACCTTTTTGACTTCACCCCTTTCCGCAACGCACAAATTTGGCTGCCATGCTTGATCCCAGACGAAAGACCACGATTTATAGGAGTAACTAATAAATTACACATACAAATTCGAACCAAATATTTATAATCATAATTTGATTAACTGAATAATAATGTACGTATTTAATATTTACTCTAATATATAGAATCTACTAATAAACATATCTATACTTCGGATATAAAATATAATTAGGAAACCATAGAATGTAAACAATTGATGCTCCCAATAGCTTCCCCTCTAGTAAGTCATACGGTCTATACTTGACTATGCATTCATTCAATCGCAACACTACGGCAAGACGACAATTGTTACATGGCTCCTCAAAATTAGTATGCTGATTTTCAACAAAAAACATAACAACCTAACTATTACATATTCAATATTTCAACGAACTTAATAAAGAGAGTTCTAATTTTAATAAGACAGTTCAGTTGGCTCCTTGGCGGGGATTTCCCTGGTCTTCAAGTCCAAGAAGTAAAACTAATTTCTGTACTGGACGTTCTAAATATACAGGCGGAATTACACATTTTCCATCAGAATTTAAATATTTATTACCAATGTAAAGCTTTACTTTACGCACATGATTGTCAGAATCGGGATATGTTTCAACAACACGACACACCGACCATTGGTTTCGCGGAAGACTATCATCTATCAGAAGAACAATCCCAGTTAACATTGATGGTTAGATTTACGTAAAGTTTACGTCATTATGGTTAGATTTTGGTTAGCGTCCAATAATGGTAAAATTCTTTGGTTAAATTTACGTTACTTTTACGTCATAATGGTTATGGTTACTTTTACGTCAGAAAATGACGTAAATGTAACGTAAACTTTATGACGGATTACTAACCAATTTTTTTCGCTTTAAATACTTCTTGATTAAATAACATTACAAGTGTGTGCACATTCTAACAATTGATAAATAGTTGGAATTCAGACATAATAATTATATATGTATTATTGGTTATAATTCTAACGTTATTCTAACGTAAATTTTACATCAGGTTTCTAACCGTTAGTTTATGGTTAGTTTTCTGACGTAAATCTAACGTTAGTTTTCTAACGTTAATATAACGTTAGTTTTCTAACGTTAATATAACGTTACTTTTATGTCATAATTTTAACCGTTAATTTAACGTTAGTTTTCTAACGTAAATCTAACGTTAATTTTCTAACATAAATCTAATGTTAGTTTTCTAACATAAACCTGATATTAGTTGTATAAAGTAAAACAAATGTCAGTTTAATTTCATGATACTAACAATTAAATTAATGTCATTTTTTTATCCTTAGTTTTCTTACGTAAACAAATGTCAGTTTAATAACATGAGCACCATTTGTAATGAAGCGACTCGATGAAGAAGGCTAACCATATCCCACAGGAGAATACTGGTGTGGACTAGAATAAGCAGACGCCAAAGACTGTCATTCAATTTGGGCTTTTTGCATATTTTGTCGAACATAATTGATTAAAATATACAGTAAAACCAGATAAGACTGAACTTTATTCAGTTTATATACATTCATGTTATATTATTATATGCCTTGCTACCCATTTTTGTCCATTTCCAGGGGCCCAACAATAGAAATGAAATGGGGTTTAACGTCCTACTGTTCTGCTCCGAACTGGGCTAATGAAGACGGGCATGTGCCATACAGTGTCCTATGAGGGACATTTTGCCCGTACAGCGGCACTACGACCTACTCTTATATCGATATAAGAGTATTCTGTTGTGCCGCTGCCCGGGCAAAATTTCCCTCATAGCACACTGTATGGTGTAGGCCCATCTTCATTAGCCCGGTTTAGGAGCAGAACAGTAGGATGTTAAACCCCATTTCATTTCATTTTGTGTACATGGGACCTCAGATTTTCGTCCCATCCGAACGACTAGACAGCTGTCCTTGTCAGGCCCTCTGTCCTGCAACACTGCCAAGCAGAAACCACATCGGAAAATCCTGATGAACACTAGCCAGTCAGTGGCTCCGGGGTCATAAATGTAGTGCCACAAAAAAAAATTTGCAGTTCACAAACACATTCTCCTTACTATTTGAGTCTGTGACTACAGCAACTTGAAAGTAGTCCAATTAATAGCCTTTTTTATGTGGTTTTGCAATCGAAATCAAACCTGAGAGGGAAAACAAATAATGATAATACATGAAAAAGTGTGGCACCATCCAAAGGGAGAGTAAGAATGAAATGGGGTTTAACATTCACTCGACACAAACTAGGTTATTTCAGGACTAACCGTAGGGGTCTTTAGCAGTGGGAGGAAACCGGAGCACCCAGAGAAAATCCACGGGGTTGGACAGACGTCCCTACTCCTTGTCATATTCAACCCGGGAATGGAACCCATGCCAGTTGACTCAATGACATACCTTATGATACAACACGCATGCGCTAAATCGATGGACACACTAGCCGAATCGTTCGGCTGAATGGGTGGACACACTAGCTGAATGCTTCGCCCGATTCAACCTGTCGGTTGCATCACCTTTCACGTCACATGATTAAACATGGCGGCGTCTGTGTCTTTAATCTATCATGTGACTTCTCGATATGAGTGGTGATTGGCTAATGAATTCTATATTCGGCCGAATGCTTCGGCGAAGCGAACACACCAGGCGAATATAATTGATTCGGGCGAATTATTCGGCCGAATGACAGTGGACACCGAATCATTCGGCTAGTGTGTCCACCGCCTAACCATTTGTCCATCCGACCCTCCGCCAGTGCGTTACCAGGGAGTTTTGTCTGGACAGGAGTGCTAAGGCCTACTCTTATATTGAATTCCAACTGCAAGGGGATCTTTAAGTGCATGCCAATGTGTACATGGGACCTCAGAGAGAATGAAATGGCATTTATCATCAACTCGACACAAACTAGGTCATTTCTGGACTAACATATATAGTTTAATTTTATTTCAATAATTCGCGTGCCCGTAGGGGTCTTTAGCAGTGGGAGGAAACTGGAGGACCCAGAGAAACCCATGAAGTTTGACAGGCGACCTTACTCCTTGTCATGTACAACCAGGAAATCGAAACCACGCCAGTTGACTCAATCATACCTTATGATACAACGCGCACACGCTAACCATTTGGCCATCCAACCTCGCACCAGTGTGCTACAAGGGAGTTTTGTTTGGACAGCAGTGCTCAGGCCTACTCTTATATTGAATTCCAACTGCCAGGGGATCTTTTATGTACATGCCAATGTGTACATAAGACCTCAGTTTTTCGTCCCATCCAAACGACTAGACAGCTGTCCTTGTCAAGCCACCGTCCTGCACCACTGACAAGCGGAAACCACGTCGGAAAATTCTGATGAGCTTTCTCAGGCAACACTGTGAGCGAACTTGTGACCTCCAAGCAAGCCAGCCAGTGTCTTATTCACTTAGCCACTGTGGCAAAGGGGTCATAAGTATAATTCCACAAAAAAACCTGTGCAGTTCACAAACACATTCTCCTTACTATTCGAGTCTCTGTGACTACAACAACTACTCGAAAGTAGTGCGAACTGTAAATTTTATTTTGTTAAACTATCGTAAGAAAAGAAACATATTGAATATGCTTGTCAATATTCTTTCTCTGTCAGAGCAGCTAAAAGGTGAAATTGTCTTCCAAAAACTCTTTGTGAGTCCTCTTCCATCCAAAACTTAAAAAATCATTATTTCAAAAATGGTGTTGAGAGAGAGAGAGAGAAATGGGGTTTAACGAGAGAGAGAGAGAGAGAGAAATGGGGTTTAACGTCCACTTGACACAAACTAGGTCATTCGGGACTAACATAGAGTTTAATTTTATTTCAATAATTTGCTTGCACGTAGGGGTCTTTGGCAGTGGGAGGACCCGGAGAAAACCCATGAGGTTGGACAGGCGACCCTACTCCTTGTCACGTATAACCGGGGATTCGAAACCACGCCAGTTGACTAAATGACAGGTCGTCACCATTCGGCCATCCAAACCCCCCAAAAATGGTGTTGAAATGGGTGTTTTTGTGAATGCGCTTAGAAATACTCATGTGTAATGAAGTGCTATAATTGAACCATAATAATAATATAGTAGGCCTAGTGGACTCCTCCGTCTCATTTTGGTTGAATGTTTGGAAATTTGATGGCTAATTAGATTTAGGACACTCTGGCATATTTTCTAGGTTTGGCTTCATGTGGCCTGTTTTCCATGCATACAAGAATTAACCAATTAGAAGTTAAACAAAATAAAATCTGCTCCAAAATATTACAATACTTTTTTTTATTTCATTGCCCAAAACACCTTTACAGCCTGAATGTTAATTTTGGGGCAGCGTTTAACTGCATGGGTGGTAATTGAATTTATTAAATTGACTAACTTTTGCACAATAAGTAAATATAAATTATCTTAATACCCCAACTCAGACAAGTTAGTGGCCTTTCAAACCAATTTAAATTCGGTCAAAATTTGTAGAAATTTAGATATTATTTTATTGCATGTGTGTACAATTTGTTATGTGTCTAAGCTCTGTTACCACAAAAAATATATTTAATTTAGTCCTTATAGTAGATTCTATCACACGTTTGAAAGTTGTCCAACGGTCGAATAAATATGTTGTAGTTTGACCTAGATAAATATAAGACTGGGAAAATAAATATAAAAAAAATTCCGACATCTTAAAAGTAGATACCTATATTCGCAATGGAAATATTATTTTAAAAATCGGGATTATTTAATTTGATACAACTGAATAAAATGGCTCTAGTCGATCTATTTAAAAAAACATCAACCAAATATACGAGTTTGGCTACTGCCAGTGCAGTACTGCATCCGTCGTGATCCGAATAAAGCTGTACGTATGTATATTATATCATGTGCATGCTTAAAAAAAGGCCTCTGAATCATATAATAATTTCTTCAATTTTACTATTCATAAGCCTAAAATATTACGTAGTTATAGACTATATATAAAATATTGAAGTGCGTAGGCCTACAGTTGATAGTCGCATAGACTCCGTTATCTACGTATATGATATATGCCGCCATTTTGGGTCAAGGTCAAGATAAATTACAGTCAATACAAATGAATAACTACATCGATAGATTATTAAATGTAATTTCTATTAACTGATTTCAATGTTAGGTGGTCTATGTTTGTTGTCTTTTTCAGTATATTGTCCACATTGATTAAACTATCATTATTAAAATCATTTTGATTCTTCTATATTTGTACGTACTTTTTTACAACTCTGAACCCGGAAGCGAGGTATTCTGGGAAGGTTATTTTAAAGATGGCGGGCGTTTTGGAATTTATTCGTGGAGTGCATGAGAAATGTTCAATATACAGCTACTTGGATTACACAAACAGAGAAAGATAGATTATACCAGTTAAATTGAGAGGTTTTATTTGAAAGTAAGTTTTTTCTTATATCCCCGACTGCTGATATACACGTATACTGAGACTACAAATTCAGCGATATGAAAAGAACTTACAATACAATGTAATAGTAGTAAAAATACTAATAAATACTATTCACACAGATGTAAAATTATTTCTGTCCTTATTTTTCTAATTTTTCACCGTAATTCTTACTTCTGTAAGACGCCAGGTTACGA